TGTGTGTGTGTGTGTGTGTGTGTGTGTGGCCAGCTCAGCCCACCAGGGGGCGGGGCTGGCTGGCATGTGGTGCTGGGGGATCAAACTGCAGTCCCTGTGCTTTGCCAAGCTTGTTCCACGTAGGTGCTTTAGACCACTGAGCCATCTCTCCAGCCCCCAGAATTTTGAATAAAAAGAATTAATGCTTTATTTTTACCAGGTGAATAATTTCTGTTTAGTAAGTCATTGGTGGTCCAAGATGAGAGGAACAGGCCGCAGAGCAGACTGCCTGCTGCCCTGCTCCTCTGTAACTGAGCCCAGAGCTCAGACCTGCTCCTCATCTGTCTAATCTGTCCTTTAAAACAAAGTGTAAAAGGCCGGGGAGATAGCTCAGCAGCATAAGTGTATGCCTGGCAAGCGCAGGGTCCCGAGTTTGAACCCTGGTACTGCAGAAGGAAAGAAAACAAGCAAGCAAGCAGGCAATCTTAGATGTTAGGATTGGCCAGCTAGCTCAGTGGACATGGACTGGGCTTTGATTCCCAGTGTGCTGTGCCAGCCCCACCCCTAGGGCACACTAAGACGGCAGTTGAGTGGGGCATAGTGGCGCGAGCCTGTAATCCCAGCGCTTGGGAACTTGAAAACAGGAGGATCACTGAGTCCAGTCTATGTAGTGAGACCCTGTAGACCCTGTACTAAATACATAAAAAAGCCCCCAAAAACCGAGAAGTGTATAAAACAGCAGCTTGAGGTCTTTATAATAAGAATAATGTTGTAGCGTTTCTTCTTGGTGGTATAATTTAAAAACATTTCAAACTTAGTGGCTCAAAATGCTTAAATACTATAAAAACATCAGTGGGCAAGCAGTCTTTGCTATCATTTCTTGTGTGCCTGTGCAATTGGGGGCAGCGTCACTTTTGCATCAGAGGATATTAAAAGGATTGCAAATATTAGTCATTTAATGTACTTAAAACAATACCTGGCACATGATAGACAGTGTAATGGGTGTTGAGCTCATCGTGTGCCACTTATTTGTAGCCGGTGTGCTGTATTAGTAAAAGAATCAAGCAGTTCGATTGTGTACCATGAGCAGTACTTGACAACTCATGACCCTGTAAAAAGTGTGTGGATTTTTTATTTTGTACTTCTTAAAATTGCACAGTAAAAGATGAAAAATTACTACCTGTGAGAATATATTGGTATTACAGTTTTAACTGTCTGTCTTTTATGAAAATGCAGAGGCCTGGAATGCCAAAATCACAGACCTGAAACAGAAAGTGGAAAATCTTTTCAATGAGAAATGTGGTAGGTTTGTTTAAAACATTACTGAAATAATGAGGTACTCTTTGTACGTGAAAGAAAGTAAACAGTAAAATAGATAATGTTTGAACATTATAGTATCATTGGTTTCATGCAGAGTTTGGGTTTCAATTTCTCATTTTTCCTGGGTGCCAGAAATCAAACGACATTTCCTAAAATAAATGAATATGATTTTGAAATGAATATGGCTTTAGTAGCTGAGAAATGAGTTCAAATGCACATTTAAAGCTGCAGTTTTTTCACAGTGCAGAGTCAGAAACCGATGCAGCTTGTGTGTTACAGGAGAAGCTCTTGGCCTTAAGCAAGCTGTGAAGGTGCCATTTGCGTTGTTCGAGTCTTTCCCGGAAGACTTCTACGTGGAAGGCCTGCCCGAGGGGGTGCCTTTCCGCAGGCCCTCCACTTTCGGCATCCCTCGGCTGGAGAAGATCCTCCGGAACAAGGCCAAGATCAAGTTCATCATTAAGAAGTGAGGCCAGGGGCCGGGGAGCTGGCTCAGTGGAATAAGCGCTTCCCTGGCAAGCTCAAGGGCCTGACTTCAATCCCCGGTTCCGCAAAAAAAAAAAAAAAAAGAAGTGAGGCCAGCAGGAGGAGTGGGAGTGGAGCCTGAGGGGAGACTCCAGGGGACTCGGGCGAGCCGTAGTCTAGCTCTGCAGGGCCACCCTCCCCTGTGTGTTCTTTTTCTAGTAATGGGAACTCAACCCAGGTCCTTAGATGTGACGGCAAGAGCTCCACCCTGAGCGCCAGCCTGTAATTTATTTTTAAAGACAGAACATAAGTTCCCGGGCTAGCCCCAGTGGCACGGCCCTCCTCCTTAGCCTCTTGGGCAGTTAGGGTCGCAGGTGTGTGTCACTTACGTCCTGTAAGCTTAGTCAGTTAGAAGTAAGAGGGCTGCTCTAGCATGAGAGAGGCGCAGCTTCGCGTTGCACGCTCCACCACTCCCACCACCCACTGGGCTCTCACTGTTTGACACTGTTGAACTTGTACAAGTGACTATATTTCCTAAAGGCCTTGTATTTCTCTTGCTTGTATTTGGCTGAACATCTGTGAATCGATTAGGCTGGTTATTGGAATAGGAGAGAATAGAGTTGGGAGAGAGGAGTTGGAATTGATACATATTGGTAGGTAACAACTATTCAGAAGTAATTGAAATGAATTTCAGACTTCATTTACTAGGTGTAGAACGTAGTTTTGAGTTGTCCCAGACTGCTGTCACACAAGGAAAGCTGGCACCGCCTGGCATAGTGTCCCTGAGGCCAGATCATGTAGAGAGGTCGCTGCGAGCTCAGGTCTCTGCTTCCCATCTCCATCTGAAGCCCAGCACCATGGCAAGAAGTGGCAGAGAGACTAGTGGGGCTGGAGGAGGATCCAGGCGAGGGATGGGATGGTGTCGCAAGCACAGTTATTACCATTTTTTTGATGTTTTCTTTGTATAAACACTTTTTTTTTCTCCATTGCTAAGAATTGAGTGTGCTCAGTATTGGGGTAGGGTGTTGGGGTTATTGTCTCTTGTACTGTGGTGATACTGGGGACAGATCTTGTGCTGGACATGGTCTTCACCCTTGAGCCCCCCCCCCCCCCCAGAACTGGGTTATGGTTTTTAAGTCTTGCTGTTTTAACTTTTGGGAATGGGTCTTCCTCCAGGCTGTCATGTGTGTGTTCTCTCTTTAGGCCCGAAATGTTTGAGACTGCTATCAAGGAGAGCACTTCCTCCAAGAGCCCTCCCAGTGAGTGTCCCCAGGGCCAGCAGGGGACTCGCTCCCAGCTGCGCTTTTGTCTGCCTCATAGTCTTTGCTTCTTTAATAGTTATGGATGTGAGGGCATTGTGGCTGTGACAGGTGGCCAGGTCAGTCTGGTCCGGCTGGTCTGGCTGTGGCTGGGCAAGTCCCCTCAGTGCTGCACATGCAGCCCTCCTGAGGCTGGGTGCTGTGTCCAGGGTGTGACCTTGCCCAGCAGGGAGTGCCAGAGCCTCCAGATGAGGCCCATTCAGTAGTTGCTGAGCCCCGTGGCTGTGACACACTGCTGCATCCTTCAAGAAGGGGAAAGGCGGGGGGGTGAAACAGCATTTCAGAAAGCTTAGGGCTGGGGAGATAGCTAGGTGGTCTAAGCACCTGCCTGCCAAGCGCAAGGAGCCCAGGGTTCAATCCTTGGTACTGCATGCCGTCCACCGATACCAGACGTGGTAGTGCACATGCCTGTAATCCCAGTGCTGAGGAGGCTGAGACAGGAGGATCACTACGAGTCTGAGCTGTGTAGTGAGACCCTGTATCCAATAAATAAAAAATTTGGGCCAGGGAGATGGCTCAGTGGAATAAGCACTTCCCTGGCAAGCGCAAGTGTCTGAGTTCAATCCCCGGTTCCGCCAAAATAAATAAATAAATAAAATAAATAAATAAATAGCTTAGCCTTTGATCAGAATATAAAATGTACCTTGAAAAACAGCCCTGAAAGGCTACCTCACAGCCTGGGTTACAAGCACATCACCCCCAGGTTTTATTAGAGAAGGCTCTGGCTGTGTATATCTCCCATAAATGCTAACCTTGTGTTTCTGTTTAAGGAAAAATAAACTCATCACCCAGCGTTAATACTACTGCATCAGGTGTTGAAGATCTTAACATCATTCAAGTAACAATTCCAGGTACGGCTGCTCTGCCTGCATCAGAGCTGGAGGCATCTCTTCAGCGCTTTTGGACTTTGCCAGCACAGATCACTGGCAGGCTCTGGTTTTGCACATGTCACTGGGTACCTTCAGGCCTCTGCAGCCAGGGCTGGCCGGACACTGCAGCTAAGCACCCCAGTGCCTGACTGTCCTTCAAAAGCCTCTGTAAACAGCTGGAGGAGGTCTTTATGTAAAAGGACTAGGGTGTGCTGGCCGGCGGTAGTGTAACTAAGATGATGGTGACAGGATGATGATTTGCACATCTTGCTGCAGAGCAAGACAGAGCAGCTTGAACCACTAGCAGCATGTGGGTGTCTGTCTCATCAGGGGGCTTTTTATTACTTCTGTTAGTAAAGAGACTAAAAGTGACTAGATCCCTTTGTGCTACTGGTTTTACAAGCCACGGGGTGGGACTCTAGTGCACGTACCTCTGGAGGGTCACTCCGCAGGAGCACAGTCGACTGCTTCTGCTTGAGCACTTCAGGTGCTTCAGTACTCCAGACAGCCTGACACAGAACTTGTGACTGCTGGCTTGGAAGTCTGAGTGGGCTGTTCAGCTGTGGGCTTTCTCTTACCTGTGTTTAGATGATGATAATGAAAGACTGTCAAAAGTTGAAAAAGCCAGACAGCTAAGAGAGCAAGTGAATGACCTCTTCAGCCGGAAGTTTGGTGAGTGTTGCATTGTGAAATTTAGCGACCATAAGCAAGACTTGGTTTTAATGAGATCTGTTCAACAGATTGTTGAATAATTGTGATCCTCTTATTGAAAAGAAACTATGCCATCGAAAGTGTTTTGCTATGCTTCTTTAATAAGAAAACATTCAGTGTGTTATTCTATTTGATGGTCAGTATAAAAATTAGCACTGAAGTTCGCATTTGAGTTTGTTTTCATTTACAGACCTCTGTCAGTAGCAGAAACGGTCTGTCGAGCTTCAGCTGTGTGCTTTTCCATGCCTGTTAAGGGGGTGGGTTACTCTCCTTCTATATTCTCTGTCTCTGTAGGCGAAGCCATCGGTATGGGGTTCCCAGTGAAAGTTCCCTACAGGAAAATCACAATCAACCCTGGATGTGTAGTGGTTGACGGCATGCCTCCTGGGGTGTCATTCAAAGCCCCCAGTTACCTGGAAATAAGCTCCATGAGGAGGATCTTAGATTCTGCTGAGTTTATCAAATTCACAGTCATTAGGTAAGCGTCGTCAGCAAGACCAGCTCTGGCGATCAAGAGGCCACGTCCCTGGGCCAGTGCAGCTGGGAGGTCTCAGAATCAAGTTCATTGAGTAACGAATGACAGACACTGGTCTAGTCACTGTTACCTTAGATCTGCTGGTCAAGGTCGTCTTCTCCTGTGCTGCTGAAGCTCAAACCCAGTGTCTCGCACAGGCTAGCCGAGTGCTCTGCCACTGAGTGCACCCCTGAGCTGGCTCGGAATTCCCCAGCTGTTGAGGCCAGGCGTTGGCCAGTCACAGCCCAAATCTGGCCTGCCTGTTGGCTATGTTTATTATTTATTTATTTATTTATTTTTGGCAGAACCGGGGATTGAACTCAGATCCTTGCATTTGCCAGTCAAGTGCTTATCCTACTGAGCCATCTCCCCGGCCCCTATGTTTATAACTTATTGAAACACAATTACATCCAACTTGCCACATCGTCCGTGTCTGCCTTCTCATTGTAGTGGACAGTTTGAGTAGTTGGGACAGAAATAGGATCTACAGGGCCGGGGAGATGGCTCCGTGGAATAAGTGCTTCCCTGGCAAGTACAAGGGCCTGAGTTCAATCCCTGGTTCCACAAAAAAAAAAAAAAAAAGAAAAAGAAAAAAGAAAAAGAAATAGGATCTACAAAGCCTAAAATGTTAACTGTCACTTTACAGGACAATTTTGCCAGCCTCTGTCTGATGTCGTGTTGTGGGCTTCATGGCAGACAGGTTTGGTCCCAAGCCAGCCGTGGTTGCACTGCCCTCTGCAGGGTTAGGAAAAACTGCCCTCACTAATAAGTGATTGTCTCAGAAAGTGTATCTACCCTCACTGGTGCCAGTTTATCCTTGTTAGTCTCTTTTTATCCTACCTATGCTCATAGCTGTGTTGTGGTATCCCGTGTGGTTCCCCCCTGCTCAGCATATGCCCCTAGGGCAGGGCTGGTGCGGCGTGTGATGCCAGGGATTGAACCTTGGTCCCCTGCACCTGCCTAAGCTTGCCTAAGCAGGCGCTTTAGACCGCTGAGCTATCTCCACCGGCCCTTGTTTTATTTTGAGACAGGGTCTCACTCTGTAGTTCAGGCCGGCCTTTAACTCACTATATAGCCCAAGCTGGTCCAGAACTCACAGCAGTCTTCCTGCCTCAGCCTCCTGAGTGCCAGGATTACAGGCATGGGCCACTGTGGCCAACTAAACAGTAGTTGAATGAGCACTTATTCTTTAGATTAAAACTAAACTGGTTAGGGCTGGCCAGATAGCCTTAGTGGACTAAAGTCCCTGCTTAGACAGGCACAGTGACCAGGGTTCGCTCCCCAGTGTGCCGTGCTGGCCCACCCCTGGGGTGCACTGAGACAGTGACTGAGACTGGGCATGGTGGCACACGCCTGTAAGGTTGACAACAGGAGGATCACTATGAGTCTGATCTGTGTAGTGAGACCCTGTAGACTGTGTACTAAAAATACATTTAAAAAAACAAAACTGGCTTGCAGACTAAGCACCTGCCTAGGCAAGCACAGGTACTGGGGTTCGATCTCCAGTACCTCATGCTGCGCCAGCCCCGCCCCTGGAGTGCACTGAGCCAGCCACTGAGTCTAGGTTTGGTGGCGCGCACCTATAATCCCAGTGCTGGGGAGGCTGAAGACAGGAGGATCACTATGAGTCCAAGCTTCATAGTGAGACCCTCTACCAAATACATAAATTTAAAAAAATGGGAAGCCGGCTAGACATAGTGGCGTGTGCCTTAATTCCAGCAGTTGGGAGGCTGAGACAGGAGGATCACTATGAATTTGAGGCCAGCCTGGGGTACAAAATGAGTTCAAGGCCAGCCTTAACTGTATAGTGAAATCCTGTCTCAAAGGATCAAAAAGAAAAAAATCTGTTAATCATTTGTTTTTCTCTTTAGACCATTTCCAGGACTTGTGATTAATAACCGTGAGTATTTTATGAAATGCTAATTTTGTTTTCTCATGGCGGTGGTCGTGGGTGTGAGTCAGTGAGTTGTGCTTGTGCACTGTGCAGCTCCCAGGGTGTGGTGGACGAGTGTCCCCGGGAGCTGTGTCAGCCGCTTCCTAGCTGCTTTCTTACCCTGTTTACTCAGTCAGAAAATTCTAATAGCAGTACTTACTTTGAAGAGCTCACAGCATTTTAAATCAGTCACCCATTACATGTAAATAATCTACCACAGGTTAACAAACTCCTTGCTGATGTTTGTGAATAAAGTTTTATTGGAACACCACGAAGTCTGTTTATTAATGGCAGAATCAAAAAGTTTCAGCAGGCTGATCTATAAAGAGTAAAATATTTACTAATAGGCTCAGTGAGAAAAAAATTTCCAAATCCACAGTTGAGAACAATGTAGGCCTAAAATGTTCAAAAGATGCAATTAGTATCTATTATTATTATATTTCATTTGTTTCATAACTGCGGTGCTGGAATGACAGTATAGGACATTCAGTTAACATCAATATAGTGTATTGAGACCCTATACCAAATACAAAAAATTCAAATTTAAAAAAAAAGCTTTGTGCTGGAGAGATAGCTCAACGCACTAAGTGCCTGCTTAGGCAAGCACAGGGACCAGGGTTCTATTCCCGGTACCACATGCTGCACCAGTCCTGTCCCCGGGACGTGTTGAGCCAGCTGGGTGTGGTGGTGCACGCCTGTAATCCCAGCACTGGGGAGGCTGAAAACAGGAGGATCACTATGAGTCTGAACTGTGTAGTGAGACCCTGTATCAAATACATTTTTTAAAAAAATACAAAAGTGACTGACATCCTTTTCTAATGCCCTTTACATGTCAGTCTTTTTCTGTATTAAAATTACTGTCGTAAGTCTACAGAACCCATCCATGCTGACTGGTAAGTGTGGTTCAGTCACCAGCCTCCTGCCCGTTCTGCTCAGGGGTCCTCGGTGACCTGGCTCACAAAATCATGGTTCACCTCGCCCTGAGCGGCCCCGACGGAGCCCTTTCCTGCCGCTCTTTCTGCTTTGCAGCGGTGACTCTCTCTTGAGGGGTGTGGGCTTAGGCGGGCGTCCCTGCCTGGGGTTTGCGCGGCACTGTGCCGTGGTGATTGCTCGCTCGCGCCTCCTGAGCCGGGTGGTGCTGTCCTGTCCAGCTCCGGCGTGGCAGCTGTGCTGGCGTCTGGCTCTCGGTGATGGAAGGGAACTGAGTGCGCCTGCGTTAGTGCCAGCATTAGTCACACCAGCAACTGCGTGATCCCACATGACAACTTTTTCTTTAAATCCATTTTTATGAATTTCAACTTGAATTCAATTTAAATTCTCTAAAGATACACTGTTCAAAAAGAAAAAAACAAGATTATTTCTATAGTGTTAATTTTGTCCTCATCTTTGTATAGTAGATTCTCGTAGAGTTTTATAGTAATTACTGTGAAGTTAGTGACTATGTATGGGATATACCAGTACCCTTAAGTTTTGTTCCTTCTCATGATGAGCAAAACTGTACTGAGGGGCTGGTGAGATGGCTCAGTGGTCTAAAGCACCTACTTAGAACAAGCTAAGCTGAGCAAAGCATCAGGGACCGCGGTTCAATCCCCCCGCACCACATGCCAGCCAGCCCCGCCCCCTGGTGGGCTGAGCTAGCCACACACACACACACACACACACACACACACAAGATAAATAAATAAATAAAATTTAAAAAAAAAAACTGTACTGAGGTGACAAGGTTAGGTCATGAGAGTCGCCAGGGGGAGCAGTGTCACTGAATTGGTGCCTAAATTCATGGCTTTATTTTCAGAGCTGGTTGATCAGAATGAGTCAGAAGGCCCAGTGATTCAAGGTGAGAGTCGGGAGAAAACAGCGGCGTGTGCGTGGTGGTCATGGGCACACAGCGCGTACACACACATGTTCGCTCAGGCTTGCTTTCCTTGACACCTGCGTGTGAAAGCCTGTACACGCACAGAAACTTGAGCTGTGGGTCCTAACAGCCATCAGGTGGGGGAGCATGGGAGCCGGTGCAGCGGAGTGAAGTGTCAGTAGAAGGTTGTCTTTCTTCCTGTACTCCTGACGCCATCTCTTTCTGATGGTTGCTGTACATTAGCAAGTTGTATTAGCCATGCATACATTATGGATTTTAAAATCCCTTAAAAGATGGGGGTGGTGGCACACACCTGTGATCACAGCACTCGGGGGACCGAGGCTGAAGGATCACCGAGAGCTGATGCCCCGCCTGAGGTACATAATCCAGGCAGCCTGAATTACGTAGTAAGACTGTATCTCAAAATAAATAAATAAAATTCCTTTAGAACAGAGGAATGGCCTGCTGCTCAGTGGCAGTAATAAAGGCTTTTACTAAAAGGGCCACAGGAGGATGAGGAGAGAAAGGTAGGAGTGTCTTGCTTTCTTGAGATAGCTGTTAGCTTTGCTGCTTGGGTTTGGGGAGGGGCATGGCAGCAGAGCCCTCCCCTCTAGGTGTGAGACCCTGAATTCCTCTCAGCACCAGAAAAGAAAAAAGGTTACTGTTTAAGACCTCAGCTGTGAGGGGCCGGGGAGATGGCTCAGTGGCATAAGCACTTGCCTGGCAAGCACAGGGGCCTGAGTTCAATCCCCAGTTCTGCCCCCCCCCAAAAAAAAGACTTCAGCTGTGTGTTGTAATAACTTACTGTCACTGTAGGAGAGCAGGACGTTGACTGCACAGTTGAGTAACTGTGGGCTGACCTTCTTGGGCTGTTACGTTTCACCTTGGCTTGGCTTTGTGTGCAGAGCTGGAGCTTTCTCCTCTCGGTTCTTTCAGTAACCACTAAAGGTCACCATGTGCTTCTTTTTAGAATCAGCAGAGCCCAGCCAGTTGGAAGCTCCACCAGCAGAAGGTGAGCGCTGCAGCAGAGAGGGGGTTGCTGGAGGCTTGCTGAGGACAGGCTGTGTGGGTGCTGAGCGTGTGCACCTGTGGTCTTTGTGCGTTCCACACCACTTGGAACCAGTGTGCGGCTCCTTGGCCATTCCTGAAAAACACCTGGTGGTTGGAAAGTGGTTGAATGACTGCGTACAGCCTTGCTGATGCCTGTCATTAAGTGCATGGTAGTAGTAAGGTGCGGGGCTCAGAGTAATGGGCTGGGACTTAAACCCTGTTAGGTGTGAATGGATCAAGCAGGTTTGCGCTCATAGTGTGACTAATTGCTGCCCTTTTGTTTCTTCTGATAGAAGTTAAAGAGACAGATGCAAGCTCTCAGATCAAGCAAGAACCAGACCCCACGTGGTAGACCTCTTCCCGCCTAGGGTAAATGGCCTGTGTCCTATCCCCATCCTGCTCACCTGAACACCCTGGTGCTCAAGCACTGGTGCCCTTGGCCTGCCTCAGCTTTAAGTCGGTTACAAATGCACCTTTGCCTTCCAAGGAAAGCATTCTGTGGGCTAAACTGTGCCCTAGCGCTGGAGTCCCCTGAGCTGGTGCCTTTCGCCCAACTCTTCTCCCTTCAGAGTAACAGGCGCTGCGAATCAGGCTGAGCTCAGGTCCACCGTCTCTTATGTGTTGAGCCACAAGTCTAGTCCTGTTGTTCCAGACACCATTAGCCTGGCCAGCTTTTTGTGGTTTGTTTTTGAAAACCACTATGTAATGCAGGCTGACCTGGAATTCACTGTGTGGCCCAAGCTGGTGTCAGACTCAAGGTGATCCTCCTGCCTTAGCCTCTTGAGTGTTGCAACTACAGGTGTGTGCCACCACACCCAGCTTGCCCAGCTCCTTCACAGGAGGGCTAGCTTGGTCCCCTAGACAGAGGCTGGCACCTGGATCGTGTGTTCTTGTGGCTTTCTCCAAGACTCGGCTGCTAATATTGGCTAATATTGTAAGGGGAGTTATGTGACATGCTGAAATTGGTTGGCTTTGCAGTATACCATGATGGTGGTTTTTTTTTTTTTTTATTAAATTTTATTTATTTATTTAAGTGTGTGTGTGTGTGTGTGTGTGTGTGTGTGTGGCCAGCTCAGCCCACCAGGGGGCGGGGCTGGCTGGCATGTGGTGCTGGGGGATTGAACCGCGGTCCCTGTGTTTTGCTAAGCTTGTTCTAAGTAGGTGCTTTAGACCACTGAGCCATCTCTCCAGCCCCGATGGTGGGTTTTTAAAGCAATGACTTGTGTGGTAATTTGCCTTAGAAGGTCAATTCATGGATTTATGGTTCATACCATTTCATGAGTATATCATTTCAAGTAATTTGTTAGCAAAATTACAGTTTCAGGTTGTGATATGTGGGAAAATGAGATTTCTATAATCTGATTAACCTGTTGGTTTGCTTGTCTGTTTTCTCTCCTGTTTTAGCTTAAAGTATCAGTGGTTGAGAAGAGCTTTTCGGACCTGTTACTACCCCAAGCTGTGTAATATACTTGTATAACAGAAATACCTTCTATACAAACCTTTTTTTCTACTTTTAGATAGAAATGTCTACTTTTTCAGCAGTTCTGTGAATTGAATTAAAGAGCAGCGTGACTGTAGACCTGGAATGGCTGGCTTGCTTCGGAATGTATCCTAAGGATTTTACAGCAATGCTGGGAAAACGACAGGGAATATGACAGGGATGAATCTCATCAGATTTTTTTACATATTCGGCAGAACCTTCAGCTATAGTGTGTATTTTCCAATTGAGTGAAGATATCTCCTACTGGAACATCTCAGTTTCTGCAGCAAAGAAAATTCCTGTGACAGTCAGTTCTTTAGTTTTTCTATTTGAAAAATCATGTCAGTGATCCTTTGTCCACAGCTTTCCCTACTGACTGAGTGAACAGCTGGTATCTGTATATTTGACTAAACTTTTCCTAGGCTGTCTATCATGGTTCATCTGTTCTTTTGTCATAATTAAAGAGGAATCTTCCGGATCACCTAGCAGCCCGAGGTCAGCATCACCACGTGGATCCCGGACGATGGACGACGGATGGGAGCTTCTTCCACTTGGTCGCTTGCGTCCAAATAAAATGCATAGTCTAGCCGGAGGTTGGTGGTCGGGTGTGAGTATCTGGGCCATCGAGGAAGGATGCCCGCCGTCCGTGACCGGGGCGCATGGGTTCTCTGAGTGCTGTCCGGCTTGGCTCGGGTTCGAGGGCTTTGCTGCCATCGTTATTTTCTAATTCTGCTTGTAACACTGAGGCACCAGTGTGGGGAGCGAGGGGTCAGTAAGCTTAATCCTGCACCTTTGATATTCTACGCCTTTGTAGGAGAATCTTACCTGTGTGGCGACTTCACAGACAATAAGAGTTGTAAATCAAGCTGTCAAAGCTAGAGTATGTGATGGCATAGAGTTCCCATTAGCTTTATCACGATATTCACAATGGAGAATTATATTACACGGTAGCAGAAATAGACATTTTTATGTGTTGCTTATATTTTACCTCAAATTGTAGATATAGGGTAATAAATAAAATCCATCCATGCCTTTCACACACCAATTCTCTTCTTTCTGAAGTGTCTTTATGCATTTCTGGGGAGCCTGGCGGGCTGGTGGCAGGTGGGGTGCGCGAAGGCAGGCTTGGCACTGCCAGGGTATTTCTGCTGCAGATGCTGCTCATCCAGCCACATCCAGAGCCCAAGCTGGGAGCAGCCCACGGGCACTCTCCTTCAAAGCCCCGCCCTTGCCCCCCAGGCCTGCTGGGAGGTGGGGGCCGCGCCAGTGCTGTTGGTTTCCAGCCTGCTTGGATGCAGGGCCGGCTGCTCCAGGGTGCTTCACAGGCCCTGGAAACGGGCACTGCTGCGTCGGGGTTGGTGCTGTTCAGCCTGGCCCTATATGCCAAGCTACATCTCCCGGCCTTTTCATGTTGGAGATAGGGTCTCACAGAGTGACCAAGTTGCCTGGGCTAGACTCACTTTTTTTTAAAACAAACAAACCTTTAAATCTTTTGAATTTATTCATGTATTTGGTACAGGGTCTCACTATGAAGCTTGGACTCATAGCGATCCTGTTTCAGCTTCCCCAGCACTGGGATTACAGGCATTCATCACCACGCCGTCTCGGTGGCTGGCCAGTGTATGTGAGGTTCCAGGGCTGGCACAGCATGTGATACTAGGGATCCTGGTCCTTGCGCTTGCCCAGCCAGCACTTAGACCACTGGGCTATCTCCCCTGCCCTAGACTCACTCTTGAGATCCCTCTGCTGCTGGGATTGTTGGCCTGCGCCGCCATTCCTGGTCCCATGAGTGCTTTTAAATACACTGCACTGTGCCTCACTAAGGCTTGAGCTGGCGCATGGTAACTCTGAGAAGGCCTCTTGATCGTCCAGTCCCTGAGCTAGACAGGCCCTCCTTTCAGCACCAGTGAAATGCCTTCCCTCAGGCAGTTCTGAGCCGCAGCACCCCACCAGATGACACTCCAGTAGCTCTGTGACTCTAGGTGGGGAGTGTAACAGTGACGAAAGGGTGGGAGGTGTCCTTTGTTTGGGGCCAAGAGGCTCAGTGCGAGGTCATGGCTGTGGCAGCTGAGAAGCCAAGGGAGGGACCAGGGTCCTCTGAAGGGCCTCGGCCAGTGCCCTGCCCGGCTGCCCCCAAGGCCCAGACACAGCTTCATGTTCCTGACCCCACCTTCCACCCACGCAGATGAGCAGAGGGAGTTGGGCTGGCACAAGAGGGTGCATTGGGGACAGGAACCAGGCGCGTTCCAGCAGTGGCTGGTGAATCCGGCGTGCCCTCTGTGTGACAGCTCAGTGCCACAATGTGCCCTATGCAACAAGCAGGACCAAACTGCAGGGCCTGGGGAAATGGCTCAGTAGAATAAGCACTTGCCTGGCAAATACAGGGTCCTGAGTTCAATCCCCAGTACCACAAAAAAAAAAAAGACCAAACTGCAGCGCCAGGTGGCTGTCACATGTGAAACTGCCCCCAGGAAGCCCACCGTGTAGAGAAATGAAGCCTGGCAGCTCTGGTCTCACCTGAGCACCCAGCCAGGCCTGAGGCTGCTAGAGAGGAGGAAGGAAGCCAGAGGAGGCTCTGTCCTGGAGTCCACCCACGCCCTCTGCGTGACCTTACCCTAAGTGGTGCTTGCCTACAGCACCAGCACTTGGGAGGCTGAGGCCAGAGGATAAATTTAACCCCAGCCTGGGCAATTTAGCCAGCCATTGAGGTCACTTGAAAGTAACAAAAGGGCCATGACTGAAGCCCTTTTGAAGGCCCTGGGCTCAATCACCTGACAGTAGGAGGAGCTTTGGGGATGGTTCCCAGCTGACTGGAGGAAGTGGCCGAGGCTGTGGTCCTTGTGTCCTAGTCACAGGCCAGTTGTCCCACCACCACCACCTCTGCACAGAGCAAGCTCCCCAGGGAGACCTTATGGGCATCAGCTCCCTGCAGGAAGCCAGGGGCTCCAGTGTCCTCCCAGTGTCTCAGTTGCCCTAGAAGTTGAGAATGGCCGTGACCGTGGGTGGCTGTCTCCAGGGAGGCCTGCGTGGGAGCTACTTGCCTACCTGTCAGTTCAGGTTCTGCCCGGGCAGGCTGGGCCCCTCCGCTTCCTGAGTGTCTTGCTTTATCTCATTGCTGAGATAAATTACTCAACACCTATTATTTAGCTCAGTTTGTGGAGGTTTCAGGCTATAGTCGGCTGGCTCTGAGGCAGGGTGGCATGGTACAGGGACAACAGCTCAAGGCAGCAGAAGATGGCAAAACCGCACCATCAAGAAGGCAAAGGGGCCTCTGTGCAGCAGCCACTCACCCTTAATGCCAGCTTTGCACTCCAAGCTCATCTATTCAGCTACCTCCAGGAAGTCCATCCTGTGACCACCTGAGGCTTGGGGTCATCCAGGCACAGACCATAGCCCTGAGCTGCCCTGGCTGCCAGCCAGCCAAGGTCCAGCGCAGAGATACTCAGCTCACTGCTGCTGGGAGCCTGCCCTCTGATGGGCCTGCCTTCCCTAGAGAGGATCAGAGTAAGCAGGGAAGCCAGGCATGGTGCATGCCTATGTGCTCAGCCATGCAGGAGGCTGAGGCAGGAGGATTGCAAGCCTGACCCCAGTATGAACAACTTTTCAAGACACAATTTATTCATTTATTTTTTTCAAGACACAATTTAAAAGAAAACTTAAGGAATAGAGGTAAAGGCACTCAGATTCAATCCTCAATACACAGAAAAATAAAAAGAGGTCCCATTGGCCCCTCATGTTCCCTGGCTGGCCTGTCTGGTCACAGCAACAAGCGCATGTCCCTTCCTTGCCTCACCCCCACCAGCCTCACCTCTACCTGCCTTGCTGTGGGGATTTTTGAGGAAGTAATAGGAAAGTTGAGCCTTGAAAACAAGTCTGACACAAGAGAGATTTGTAAAGATGCTTCCTGCCCCTTTCTGAGAACCAAGATCTGGTGTGGCAGTGCACAGCTGTCATCCCCGCACCTGAGAGGTAGAGGTAGGTGGGTTCCTGTGAGTTGAAGGCCATCCTGGGGTACAGAGCAAGGCCATGACACATGCCGCCCACCCACATGCACACGCACGGAGAAAGTCAGATCTGCTCCCTGCACGAGAGGACCAAGATCACCCGGAAGGATCGATCTGTGTGGGGTTCACAGGATTGCGTTTAGACCACGTCTTCCAGGCGATCACAGCTAAGAGACCATTCCGAAAGGGCCCAGCACCCGAGCTGGCAAAGCAGGTCGTCCCCTCCCGACTGCCACCTTCGCAGGTCCCAGCTGTGTGTAGGTGCCAGGCCGCTGCTCCGGCCCAGGTCATGGCTGCTGTCTGCTGAGGCGGCGGCTGCATCCCTGCCATCACAAACCCCCACAGTAGTGTCAGCTGCAGTGAGCTGTGGTGTTTGTCGAGTGTCATCGCTCACCTGATGACACGTCCGGTCTCTGAGCAGGGAACTGTGCACAGGAGGCTCTGGGGAGACCTTGGCCCTCCTGCGGGTGCCAGGCTTGCTCAGGCGCCCTCAGGCCCTGGATGATGTCCCATACCACCCGCCAGCTCCCCGAGACAGCTGCACCAGGCACCGCCCCTGCCTTGGCTGGGATTCCTGGGGCGACAGAGCCTGGTGCCTGCCCTGCAACATCGCTCTGACCCACCACGTGTCATAGCTGCCCTCAGGACCTGCGTGCATCTGAGGACACTGTTGGCCTCATGGGCTCCTCATGGTAGTGACACAGACATAGCTGCTGATGTTGTTGACATCTGAGAAACCAGGGCTCAGGCATGGGGGAGCTTCTGCAGGGCACGTGGCTGGGAGAGGGGGGTTGAGGACAAAGTAGGTCGCACGCAGTCAGGCTCAGGCTCTGATCACGGTGCCTGGCTGTGGGCCTGAGCTTCAGCAGCCCCCTGGATGTCGGGGCCTTAGGCAAGGCCTGGAAGGTGATGTTTGGAGCCTGGGGCGACAGAGCAGGGTCCTTAGTCCCCGCACCTGAGGTCCTGGTGAGGACCCATGTCTCTGCCTGCCAGGCAGAGCCTGTCCCCCGCACAACTTCCTCCCTCCTTCCTTCCTCTTTGTGACACAGGAGACTGAACCCAGGGCTTCCATGTGAGCAACAGCCCTGGCCCTTTTACATTCTTTTAACTTTGATTCAGGTTTTGCTTTCACTGGACTGGACTCAAACTTGCAATTGCCTGCATGGCCTGCGTTTCTGTAGAGATACCAGCTTGCCACTACAGCTGTGGTCCCAGAACCCTGCCCTGGCCAAGTCCCTCTGTCAGTCACGCAGGTGCTCTGGAGAACGGGAGGCAACTGGAAGGTGGGCCGGCAGTCCTCGGTCACCCCCAGGGTCGGGCACAAAGAGGCTTAGGTTAGATCTGGGCAGGCTAAGTCATTCCATTCCTGGATGCCCCGACTTCTGCCTCCCAGCAGGAGACCCACAAGGCCCCGCCTGGCTTTCATGTCCCTACCGAACCCCTGGCCACACTATCCCCGTGGGGATTTCCTGACTAAGGAAACGTTGCCCAGCCCATCTGGGGAAAGCCAAGTGGCTTGAGGGAGGAGACAGTGAGGAAAGTGGCCCAGGATCTTGGCCAGACCAGAAGCCCCTGCGCCTGCGCCCTCCTCTGCGCTGGCCGGCTGCCCCACCTGTGCAGGCACCCGTGCGTTCACTTACACTGTCCGAGGGCCAAGCAGGGAGCCCAGTGGCTAAGCATGGGCCTGGGGCCAGAACACCCGAGTTCAAATCCCAGCACTGTGCTTACGAGCTGAACCATATATGGACCACTCTGTGCCTCAGTTTCCCCTCCTGAAATGGGGGATCGAACTTGGGACTTTGTGCCTACCAGGCAGGTGCTTATGCCGCTGAGTTGTCTCCTCAGCCCTCCGGGGATTGAACTCAGATCCTTATATTTGCCAGGGAAGCGCTTATTCCACGGAGCCATCTCCCTGGCCACCCCCCTTCTGGTTTTTTTGAGACAGGTTCTCAGTAAATCACTATATTGCCCAGGATCAAACTTGGGATCCTCCTGCCTCAGACTTTCATGGAGCTGGGATTACAGAGGTATCATTCTAATGCCAGGCGGTGGCCACCCAGCCTGTCACATCACAACTTTACACAGAGTCAAATGGTGCGGTTATCTTTGTGTGTGTACTTCACAACATAAAGTCTTTGTGTGTGTGTGTGTGTTTGTGTATGTGGAACCAGGGATTGAACTAAGGCCTTTGCACTTGCCAGGGAAGCGCTTATTCTACTGAGCCATCTCCCTGGCCCTCTTTCTAAAATTAAGTCGTCCACTAAAAATCTCTTTCTTACTTGTTCATTCCCTGCTTCCCTTGCTGGTTGGATCCTCTTCAGCGCAGGGAGTGGCGTGCACTCACCGGCCCTTCCAGGACCTCGTAAGCTCCAGCCTCAGCACTTTCCACCCAGAGTACCAGGAAGTCGGCAGGCTGACCTTCAACTTGCCATCTTCCTGCCTCAGCCTCCTGATTAGCTAAGCTTACAGGTGTGCACCACCACACCTGGCTTATTTTTCTTAAAAACATTTTTCTTTTTTAAATTTTAAGTCATTTGGTCACTAGTGTTTTCATCCAGGCATTAAAATAAATTCTGTGTCATCCAACAGAAGGCTCTGAGCCTGCCCACAGAGGCTAGTGCCAGGTCCAACACCAACCCAGGCACAGTGGTGCATTCCCGGAACCCCTATCACTCAGAGACTAGGGAATCCAGGTTGGGTAATATAGTGACTTAACAAGATCCTGTGTCAAAATGAAAACTAAGAAGGGCTGGGAATGTAGCTCAGGGCAAAGGCTCTGGGTTCAGCCCTCAGTACCGCCACACACCAAAAAGCCAGCCACAGTTCTTCGCACGCCTTGCCTCTGTTTACCCAGCAAGCAAGAGCCAGAGCCATGAGGGACTGTGTGGGCTGCAGAGTCAGAGGTGAAAGCGACCCCAGGCCAGGCCTGGCGTCTGCGTGACCGCGGCGTGGTACACAGGAGGGTGCTTGTGCAAGAGCGGAAAAGCTACTGGGGAAGGAAGCAGAGCCCCGGGGCCTGCCCTCCCACCCTTCCTCACCACAGTCCCCACAGCTGTGGAGTCCTTGGGCCGCTGCCCAGGTGAGCGACATGGCCACTGCTGTCAGAGCCTGCCACAGAGACTGGCTCTTTCTCAAGCATGGGTCCCTGGTCACCTGCCCGAGGGGCCTCTGACCTCTGTGATCTCCAAGGGTGTCCAATGGCTCACACACTCCTCCTCACTGAGCTGAAGGCTTCCCCAGATGTGGCCATCCCTTGTCACCACTGAGGAGTGTCCCAGCTCATCGCACTGGCAGAGACCCTGCAGACATAACTGGGAATGACCAGAGGGGCCCTTGGCCGGCCACCCCCAGGGCAAGGACTTCTGGATCAGCCGGTAGACTGCGGCAACAAGCAACAGAGTGCTGCAGAGCAGAATAAGTGCTCAGGCCAGGGCTGTGCGGCTGAGCGCAGGGCCCCGGACCAGACAGGCTCTGCCAGGCTCCCGTCTGTGGAGGGAGGCCCTGAGCCCAAATGACATGGACTGGGAGGCCGAGGCAGGAGGCTCATCGGTTAGAACCTGGGCAACGTAGTGACTTAGGGACACCCTGACTCCCATACTAAAGAGGGCTAGGGAAGTAGTTTAGTGCAAGGATCCTGGCTTCAATCCCCCCATCTCAAAATGAATAAATAAAATTTACATTAACAAATAAATAAAATTGGCAAGATAGCAGTGAAAATACATAGTGGGAAGAAAACGCAGGGAGAGGCAGGGGTGGGTATGAAGCTTGCGCTGTTTCTCACGGAGTTAAGGAAGGCCACCCTCCAGAGGTAACGCTGAGGAGAAACCCGGGAGCAGAGGGGAAAGATGGGATGAGGGTTCCACACGTGCAGAGGCCCTGGGGTCATTAGGGGCCGGCAGGGCAGAGCTCAGCGTCCCAGAAACTGAAAGAATAAGCGAGCCTCTGAGCCCTGCCCGCCCCCTGCCCTGCTGGGGAGAGGAGCGACTTCCTCTTTCCAGAGCATTTAAGGCCCGGCTTGGGCTTTCAGAGTGCCTGGGAGGAGTCGCGGCAGGGCCACAGCCAGCATGGGGGACGTCTTCATCCGCCACATCGCCCTCCTGGGCTTTGAGAAGCGCTTTGTCCCCAGCCAGCACTACGTGAGTACCAGGCACGGACTGGGCCGCCTGTCCCCGCCACCACCACCCTCCGGCCCACCTTGACCTCCCACCCCCACCCCCGACTTGGGGTGGCTCCCTCGGGCCATCTGCCCCCTAGGCCCCTGCACGCGGGCCACTCGGCCAGAACATTAGGGTCAGCATCTCTAGCAATGTGAGCCCACTCCTGGCAAGGGCTGGGGAAACACGGCCACCTGCCCCTGAGTCCCAGCCCAGAGAAGAGCGGCGAAGGCTGGCTACCTCTCTCACCTCCTTGGAAGTAATTTCTTGCGGACGCTCATACCGATTCATTTCTTCACATTACCTCTCCTATCTGTTTGGAGTTCTTTCTGCTGTGTGTGATGGGAGCTACAAATCCAGTGTGAGTGGTAGGTGGTCCTGGAGGCCACACACACACACACACACACACACACGTGTGTACGCGCCCACACACGCACCATGCTGGTGAGCACTCTGCTGCTAAGCTGCACCCTTGGCCAATATCTAATATTATCTGTACCAAAAAAGACTAGGCTAAACCAGGTACAGTGGTGGTGCCTACCCGTAATCCCAGCCTTCTGGGAGGCTAAGGCAGGGAGATCAGAGGTTTGCAATCAACCTGGGCAATTTGGCAATTTAGCAAGATCCTTCTCAAAAGATTTTTAGAAAGGCTGGGGGTGCTGGGCATGGTGGCACATGCCTTTAATCTCAGTACTCAGGAGGCTGAGGCAAGAGGTTTGCTGTGAGTTCAAAGCCACCCTGGGCTGTTACATAGTAGGTCCAAGACCAGCTTGAACTATATAGTAAGACCCTGTCTAAAAAAAAAAGGCTGGAGGTAACACAGTATGAAGGCTTTAGGTTCAATTCACAGCACTGCCAAAAATAAATAAGCCAAACCCTAGTATTTAAAAACTTACCTTCATGGGGCCGGGGAAATGGCTCAGTTGAATAGCCACTTCCCTGGCAAGCGCAAGGGTCTGAGTTCAATCCCTGGTTCCACCAAAAAAGAAAAAACTTACCTTCAGGATAGCTCAGTGGCATAAGCACCTGCCTGGCAAAGGCAAGGTCCTGAATTCAATCCTTGTTACCACAAAAAAAAAAAAAAAAACCAACTTACCTTCATTCTTTATTACTTGAAATATCATTACTTAAATCATTAAATTCTGTGCATCTGCTTCTAGATTTTTCTATTCTATTCCATGATTTGCTCAAATACCAGTGCTATACTTTAAAAAAAAATCTTTGAGGGTGGTACAGGGTCTTGCTATGCAGCTTGGACTCATAGTGATCCTCCTGTCTTAGCTTCCCCAGCACTGGGATTACAGATGTGCACCACCATGCCCAGACTCGGGGGCTGGCACAGTGCCCCCGGGGTGGGGCTGGCATGGCATACAGTACCAGGGATTGAACCCAGGCCCTTGTGCTGGCCAAGCAGGTGCTTAGACCACTGAGCGATCTCCCTGGCCCCTAGTGCTATACTTTAAAAAAAAAAAAATTATTGTGCCCAAATATGCATACATAAAATTTACCATTTTAACCATTTTAAATATATATCTCATGGGTACTAGTATGTTCACTTTTCATCTCTGGAACTCTTTCATCTTCACCAGTTGAAACTCCACATCCACGAAGTAGCAGCCTGCACTTCCCCTGCTTTGGGCTCCCACAGTGCTGGGGACAGGTGTGTGCTGTCCTGCCCTACTTGGTCTATGTGTTTGACTATTTTTATAACTTCCTGCACCTGGGATTATCCAGTATTTGTTCTTTAGTGACTGCTTATTTCACTTAGCATACTAGCATGACGTACTTCAGGGTTATCTGGCTTTTTTTTTGAAACAGGGTTTCACTATGTAATTTGGACTGGCCTCAAATTCATGGTGATCCTCCTGCTTGAGCCTCCCAAGTGCTGGGAATCCATGATGTGCCACCATGCCTGGCTCCATCTTTTTTTTTTTTTTTTTTTTTTAATAGGTAACCCAGCAGGTATGAGGTACACGTGTTTTGTTGTTGTTAATGTATTTGGTTGTTGCAGGGTCTAGTGGCATTCCTCCTGCTTTCAGCCTCCCCAGTGCTGGGATTACAGGCATGAACCACTATGCCCAGACTCTAGCTGGCAAGGGTGGTGCCTGTGCAGCATGTGGTGCCAGGATTGAATCACGGTCCCTGCGCTCGCCTAAGCTGCCCTAAGTAGGTGCATCGGTCCACTGAGCTATCTCGCCGGCCCACTTTTTTTCTTGTTCTTTCTTTCTTTCTCTTTTTTTTTT